GAGTGCCCTTATAAGGGCAAACTCACATGTGGGCTTGACACGAGTTAAAGACTGATCCCATCTACCGCTTGGCTGGTCTCAACATTAGCTGGGTGTGGAAATGATTAGTTCATGCTCTTCAACGATGTATCATCCACCTCTCACTCATTTACTTGCACATGAATACAAATGCATGTACACACATTTCTTGAAAAAACAGAAAGCAAACGTTTTGCTTTGTGTCATACGTAAAACTCAAATGTCTCCAAGTAGATATCCTTTTGTACAAAAACAGCACATGCTCAGTCCTGGGAGGTCGAAGGGTCAGGACTTGGCCTGAGGGGGTCATTGTGCTTCGTGACGGGGCAGGGTGGGTGTGTGTGGGAAGGTGAAGTTGGATTTCCTCCACTCAAGAAGTCATGACGTTTGAGCTGAACTTTGTGACTTGCTGTACACAGCTCAATTGGAGAGACACATTAAGTGGTATTTTTAACTCGGTATTTGAGATGTTGCAGGATAATTAAAATGTTTTAAACCGGGCATTACTTCGCAAATTATATTTACTTTTTGTCTGTTGCCATACAAATTATCCAAAACTTGCTGTCCTCTAAGAGAACAGAAGTCTTCATAATTCTGAAATATTAATCTTGAAACCACAAGCTGATTCCCTAAACCGGGCAAATAAGATGTATAATCTGGAGCACAGCTGCTTTGGTCAGACAAATAGATGTCCAGCATGAGTGAGGGCCAGTGTTCCTGTGAAAAAGAAAGACAGGATGTTTGTTTTTTTTCCGGCAGGAGCTGAACCAGTCAGTAAACAGGGAAAGATCGATAACTGTCCTGAAGGACCTCTTTTACATTTTTTTGCTCAGTATCTGGGACAGAGATTTACTTCAAAACAAACTAAACATAACAAAAAAAACTAATGATAACTCTAATAGTCCTGAAGTGACCCAGGTAAAATTTGGACCTGAGCCCGGCAAAGCATTTCTGATGAGCGCTTGAATCTGCTGTGCAATGAGGCTCTTCAAACAACCTGATTGAACTCTTGTGATTCTGCCAAAACAAATGAGAGAAGCTTCCAAAAGAAAGGTGTGTCAGGCTACTCGGATCATTTACAAGAAGACAACGATAATTCCTGCCAAAGATACTTTAACATTAATTAAGTGAAGAGTCTGACTACTTCTTCTGAATAACTTTCTTATTGATGAGCATGCAAAGCATCAGAAAATGTTTTAAAAAGGATGGTTTTCATCCAGTGAGTCTGAAACATAACGGCATAACAGGGCATTAGTAACATAGTCTTAGCTGTATATTTAGCGAAACATATGGGGATACTTTGTGGAGCTTGAAAGTCAGAGCTTGGTTACACGAGTAGATTTTAACCATAAATTAATGAGGCTGTTGCTAAATATGCTCAGATGTTCAGAGGCTGCAGCTTGTCAGTGTCATTCTGCGTATACCCATAAATACATGCTCTAATAAAGGCAGTCAAATAGAACAGTGTAATTAAGACAAATATGAACTTGAACGGCGTTTGCTTTCTGTTTCCACAGTAATTAGGTGGTCTGTCTCCCTTCCATAGTTACGATTTAATCCTTTTTTGGCACTGCTACCACAGATAGTTGTTCCCTCAGCTCAGATGGCAAACTCACAAAACAGAAGCATGTCACATTTCGACCACCTGAAGGACCCTGAGGCAACCATCATACTGTTTCCACATCTGGAAGTGTAAAACAGACCACCCTCCTAAAGTTAGTCACATTTAAATATGTGTCTGTCAAGCGCTGCAGATGAGTTTGGAGGGTGTTTTTGTTTTCAGCAGGATGCCAGCAGCTGCTCAGGATTACTGGTAAACCGTCAGTGCTCTCTAATTGGCCTTGATTGACTGGGCTACTCCAGATATATGTATTTGCTGGTTTTGAGGTTTTTACTTTGCAGATGGCAGCTGCTTGACAGGAAGTGACTCACGTGCATGCCTTAGCAAGTCTGCTTGTGAAACACTATAACCTTCTTTAAATCTTGCTTCTTGCGTCAGACTGAGCTCTGAGTGAAGATTTTCTGGTTTAGTACTCTGAGGAATCAGTGGTCCCAATTCCAACAGGCTTATCTTTTTTTGTTTTTAACCCTCCCCATCCTCCCCATCCTGCTCCTGGCAGCTGAATCTCAGCGGATAGGTCAGGTGACCCCCATAACAGGTGTGACATCAGCTTCCTGAGAGGCGATGAGCACGATAGAATGACTTTGCTCCCAGCATCATCAGAGGTGTTGACAGCTTGATAACATCTCGATGACTGAGTCTGTAAAACATATTGTTTGTAAGTGATTTCTGAGTCATCTGTCTGTGAGCAGCACAAACAATGCTGGCTGAAATGTTTTCTTTGTGGTAGTGACAACTGCTCTCTGGTTCACAAAGTTGCTGGCGGTGAGCTGAATTCTTCGGTCAGGTTTGAGAAATGCCTCTGTTCACAAGTGTGAGGTGACATTTCTGTATAACTGAATTCAATCGTCGACTTTCCCCTCCTCCTCTCGAGACAGCACACTCTGTGTTCAGGTTGCAGTCATGTGATAGTTAGTGAGCTGGACTCTGTCTCTGCATGAGTGTTTCGGGTGTTTCTGTCTTAACGGTTATTCTGTTGTACTTGGCAGGAGGCCAGGTGTAAGGTGTGTTCTGTTTGCTCTGGTCGCACCCTCTCATTACTTTCCTGTACGGGGTTATTGGTTGACTTTTATTTTCCGCTTTTCTGATATGCAAAGGAAAAGTCAGTTGCATTCCCTGGCGCTGTTTCAGCTGGATTCAACTCAAAAGCAGCCAATCCAAGCAGCGACATGCACCCATCTGGTTTCCGATTGGTTGATTTTAAATGCTTTGACTAATTACAAATACTGTACAGCCGTTTGAAGAGCAGGTCAAGGGAAAGTGCTGATGTGACCATGAGTGTTGTATTTTACCTCTTATCATCAAGTTAGGACATTCATTTCTCTCTCTGTGGTTATATTTAAAAAGATTAGTTTAACTGAGCTGGCCAGCTTTGTTGTTTGTCACAAGCTTCGAGTTCAGAATCTGTCTTTTGTTTTTTTTCTTTGACTTGATTTGACTTTCTGTAGACTGATACATGCCAAGAATGTAAGCTTATATAAAATACTAAGGAGACCATTTTGGAGTGGAGGCCATTGCTTGAGGCTTTTCTGTGATATTTCAGCGATGAAAAATAAATCAGTCAGTTCCTAAACTTGGCAGGCAGTGTACAAGCTGCATAATCACATCAAGACATTTACTTAGCCATGAGCTTGACAGTGTGGTAACAGATGGCTCCCTCGAGTGTTTGGTCAGTACGTGTGCTGTGTTGTCAGTACGTCTGTTTTGCCCACACAGACAGACGCTGAGTGATGTGTTTTTATTTCTTTAGATTATTTTTCCTTCCTTGCTGTCAAAAATTTGCCCTTGTCACTCTTGTTCGTCATATCATCTGAGTGCTGGACTAGAACCAAACCCAACTCATGATTACAGGATTTCACTGCCATCTTTTTTCTTTGTGAGTCAGCAGGAATGTGAGGAATGACCTGTGCGAAGCCCGGTCCTTTCCCACCCAGCTCTCTTCTGTCCATTTTTAGTCATACCCAAGTGTAGCTGCCCTTTCATTTTTCTCTTTTGCACATTGTCATCCTGCGCCCCCTGATCTTATCCTCTTTGCTCATATCCTTTCGTCCAGCCATCACCGATCGCTTTTTCTTCTAACCCATTCTTTTCAGTCAGCTCAGCACTTTAGATTTCCACAAATTACAGTATGTGGAAGAGTCTTTTTGAGCCAGTGCAGCTCCAGCTGCATATTTTTCTAAACCACAGCGAGACCTCAAATCTGCTGGCCCTCTTCATTTCTTGTGAGGAGACCCTCCTCCTCTTTATCCTCCTCTAGGCCCGACTGGGGGGCACGTCGGCCCCTTTCAAATACATTTGCAAGTAAAGCGTAGTTTAACAGCCATGTCCAGCTCCTCTTAGGAGGGTGGTTGGCAAACAATGGTTTGTGTCTCAATCTGGCAGCTTTTCAGTGGTGCAGCAGGAAATCTAAAAGCGTTTGAGCATGAGGTCTCCAGAAGAGCCTGCTGGAGAAGCAGCTCATCCCTGCGTGTGCTGACAGGTTCCCGCTTTCCAACCAGAGAGAGATCCGTCACGGACATGACAAGGGGTGACTCCCTCTCCCCTCCCATGTTCTGAGCTGTCGCTAAGATGAAAGCATCCATCTCGTTGAGGTAGTGCGTGTCTGCCTGCAGGTGTGCTTTCCGACACTCCCTAGCTAATCTTCTTTGCTCAGAAGAAGAAGCATTTAGTCAAGTCAGACGGATGAAATACGAGTCGTCCAGGCCACTATTTGTCGGGGGAATCATTTACAAAATGACCCATCGATCTACAGAACTTAGCATTGTTTCTTAAAGCTGAGCATCACCATCTGCTCCCAGGCCTTTTCTCGTCCTTTGCTCCTTCCCCAGGTGTTCCTACATTTTTTCATTAGTGAGGTCCAGTTACCTGTCATCACTAATCAATGACTCGCCTAACTGCCTTAACCTCCCCGCTGACCCTTTACCGCCCTACCACATTTTCAGTGGTGGTCATTACATATTATCCATGTGATGTGACCCTGATTAGACTAGCATTTAAAATGATGAAATTCAGTTTTATTCCCGATTAAGTAATCTACTTTTCAGCAAACTGTCAGGAAGTGGTTGATGTAATTACATCAGGTAAGAGAGGGCAGTTTACAGAAGTTGATTCTACTGGCCCTTGACAAATAAATGTTGCCTTTTCATTGCCCAGTACCTCATCAGAGAACAGGCTTGTGACCTAGCCTAGTTCTCCTCATTCATCTGTAACTGCAGTCCTCCTTCTTTACATTTGACAATTCCTGTGGTGCATCATGTTAATGTGAGAATAACAAGGGGCTTGTTATTGTATATAGTTGTAATGTTTACTTGTTTGGTCTTGTGATCATAATCATTTCCTGTTTGTGTTTGTCTTCATGTAGCTGGATGGAACTGTGGATCTTGATGAGAGACGCCTCATCCGGTCAGCAATACGAGAGCTAAGGAGGAGAGAGATAGAGCACATGGAGGCTGCTCTGGCCAGCAAGAGATTTCGGTCCACACGCTTTAATCAGCAGGAAGACAAGGAGAACCAGCACAGGTGAAGCCACATACTTTAAAAAGGCTGCAAGACTAGTTTACTGGCAAGTCACAAATCCAGATGCAGCTTTCTGCAGCTCCAGGGGGAACAGTCTGGAAAAATCGGGTCAGGAAATCATAGGGGACAGACAATTGCAGCTATAATAAATTTTCCAATTTCCATCGTGCCTGTTCATTTTACAAAACCTTCTGAAGTTTGCTCTAAGCTTATAAGATTTGCTTTGGAGTATTTCTATTTTTCATTTATTTGCCTTTCAAAGCCTTCTCAGTGTTTTGCCAGTTAATAAATAAACATTTCCCAGCGCGTGTCACTCAGCTGAGGAATGTGGGTAAACTCATAACTCAGCTGTAATGCTTATATTTGTCCTGCCTACGTTGTCCATAAAGATTTTTTTTGCCTGAAGACCAAGATGAAAAAGGGACCAACAGGCCTGAATTTACCCAAAAATATATTTTAGTGTAACAGCAACTTTCCATGCATCGGATTTATAAATCTGTAGATAGTGTGGATACTCTCTTAAATTCCCATGCAATGTATTTGTTGTTCTTATTTAGTTTGGGGACTGGTACAGGCTTCCCATGATTAACCTTTCCCTGATTGACTCTGATCATTTGAAGACACTTGAAATCCATCCATTGATGTAAAAAAAAAACAGGTTTTAACTGTTCAGCATGAAGTTTATTTAGACTTTGGATTATAACAAAGACACATAACAACAGAAGTCAGTAAGCACCTTTGCGTTTGGGTGGTCTGAACTTTCTTGTTTGTCTGAAATCTAAAGCTTCTTTGAGTAGGCTAGTCTGAGTGCTATTACAGATGTTCAATTACATTCAATGCTCGAGTGCAATCCCAGCATCTGATTCAGAGCAGTCAAGATTTAACACTATTTGATGTGAGAAGCTTATCCAACCCTCTGCTGCTGCTTTCTGTCTGTCACTTAATCCTCCCAGGAACGGTGGTGGCGCCTAATCATTTCCATTCACCTCTGCTCTCAGATGACTTGGGCTATGAAAATAATGGAGGTGCTTGACTGAAGCTGCTTAAGATAGCAAAGCCAGTGTTTCACATATATGCACACGGCACACAGAAGCATACGAGTAACTGAAACTAACAAAGGCGAGCAGTGAAAAGGAGAAATATAAGACGTAGAAGGAAGGAGGATGAGGGCAGCCTTTCGGTAATTTATACAGATAATTGCTCTTAAATGTATGATGTTGGAATATCTTTTTTCATTTTCTTTTACATTGTTCTTCTCTTGGTTTTATTCAACAAAAATAATTTTACTGACATGATTTAGATGATGGTCAATACTTTACATTTTGATAAATCTTAATATCAGGGTATTAAAATCATGTCCTTCTGAGTGCTGATGTGTTGTGTTGATGGGCTATTGAATAGGTGTTTCCTTCTTGTCTGGCACAGGTCAGAATCCAGCGAGAACTTGGACGTCTTGTCTCAAAAACTCCAATCAATCCAAGACATCGATGAGCTCACCAAAATGGTGCTTAGTGCATAATATTAATTCTGTTTGCACTGACCGTTTGCTTCATTTTGGTGGGAGTTCTGAGCTTTATTTTATGTTTGTTCATAGCTCCGTGCTGCCAGTGAATACGAAGAGAGGAAGATGATACGAGCGTCTATCCGACGGATCAGAGACGAGCAGCTACAAGGTGAGCTGGGATTTTTCTGTCTGCGCAGTCTGCCTCAGCTTGTCTGCTAAAGGTTGAACCGGATATAGGTTACTGGGGACAGACTTCAGCAGACAACACTTGTCACTGTGACAAATCAAGTTACGGGGATGCTTCCTTTGCAATGTAGTCCTACTTTAGGCATTTAACCCAATTAGTCTGGATTAGTCTGATTCGTGTTTAGGAGTTCTAGTGTTAAAGCAATTAAATGTGTGTACACTTTAGGAGAAAGAAAAAAACAAACAAATAGATTTAAGAAGGATACTATTAGATAAGTGAGTATTTATATTATCTGTACGGTTTGGCCGACTTCACACCACTTATTATTATGTATTTTGAAAAAAAGCATTGACACTGTTTGCCCTCATGAGGGCGTTACGGTAAAGGTAAAAGAACCTGGTGACCTACTTACTTTATGTTAAACTTGACAGAAAAGCTAAGTAAATATTTTCAGTGTGTTGCTCATGAAGTGCATGCAGGCATGCCTGTCTGTTGCCATCTCAGATCTACCTACAGGACGATGCTGGCTTAGATAATGGATTCCTGTCATTCCTTAGCACTGTCTGATCTGCGTGAGGCCCCTGTCATCCTAAAGTCTTGTGATGCACGAGTGGGTTGACATAAAAAAAGAAAAAAACAGTAACCAAAGTATAGCCGAAAACTCCACCTTAGGTCATGTCAGAACTCTTCCCACCATAGCGTATGTGAAATATCATACACAACTTAAAATCCAACCACAGGTATAACATGAGGTTGCCAAATTGTAAATGTTTTTTGGCTAAAGCTTCTGTGTCTGTGTGCGTTTCAGGGACAGTGGAAAATAGCAAGGTGTCTGCACGCTGTCTGGAGCCAGAGAGTGTGGAGCCACAGCGCTCCATGGGAGCTGGGGTGAGGACAGAAGAATTAATGTAGCAATTAGCAATGGGAGGGGAAATTAAAAAATGTCTCCACATTATCTTGACGTTGTCCATCCATCACCAATGCATGCAATGTTGAAGATCTCTTGTCAGCTTCCACTGGCAAAAAGGCACAGAAGACTTTGCGGCTGTGAAGTTTGTTTGCATGGTAACAGCGACCACAGGTCTCTTCCCTGCCACAGTGAAGAATGCAGCAAACAACTAGCATTGTCACTTGAGTTATGGCTGTGGCCACACCAGGCGCGCGCTCACACACACAAACATCAGCCCAACTGCCACGGAGTCAGGAATGTTTTTTGTTTTGTTGTTTTTTTTTTTCATTCTCATACTTTTATGGCCATTTTTAAGTGAAAGATGCAATTTACTTTGACTCTGGTGTTTAGTGGAGGCAGTACATTTTTGTTAGTTAGTTTTTTGGCAGTGGACATCTCACACAGTACAGTCTATCACACTTTTGGAAACTCTTGGTGCTTTATGTGTCTAAATCGGCTTTGCGTGGATGTCTCTCACAGCTGAGCTGCCCTCTAGTGGTGGAGTTATCCACATACGTACAATATGAAGGCACGAGGCCCCCTCATGTCCTCCGGGGGCCAGATGTTATCTTATCTGCTGTTTTTTATCTTTTTTTTTGTTATGAATGCTTCGCTGGCAGTGGATGGGAGTCTATGTCGGAAAAAGAAAGTTAATTCTAACTGACTGCAGCCAGTGCTCTGAAAACTAAACCTTTATGAGAGGAAACACCTGCTGTATCAACACATGTAAGGAAAACATAATCAGTCATATTATCAAAGTTATGGCAGTTCATTTGAAAGCACACAGATTTCCCACCTCTGTGACATGGTAAAGGGAAGAATTGAAAGGATGTTAGTATCAGTCCCATTGTCAGCCGCAGCCTCTGCTCCGCTTGCATGGATTCCTTTGTCTCTGTGTATTCCTCCCAGATAGGAGAACTCTGTCGTAACAGGATGCTCTAATATTCAAGTCTCACTTCCTGTAGGGTGGCTGAATTCTACGGTAGTCAAGTTGTTAGTCATAGGTGTTGAGATGATTTGGGATGGGCGGGGGGGTATTTATCTGGGCAGTCAAGCAGGCCACCAGCTGTGGCCCAGCAGTCTTGTCTTTGCTGGAATGAGGACGTGGCCAAAAACAACATCAGCCAGCAGCAGCGGGGCTCCTTCCACTCACATCACAGCAGTGGATCTCTTTGAGCTTTTTGCAATTGTCCTGTAGACGATGGTGGTTCTAGATTGGCTTGCACGCCAGACAGATGCACGCAAGCAGTCTTTGTTGACGACGGCTTAAAATCTGTTTTGTTACTAGATTAGAGCGGCTCCTCATCTGTTATTTCAACCGCATCCATTTGGGAATTTGGTTTTATTGGATAAGAATGACATGCAGGAAGGTATAGCCAAAGTTCACCTTTGCTCATTTTGCAGAAACAAAGATAGTGCCTTTTTATATGGAGTTTTATATGGAGTTTTAAATGGAGGTGCATGTGACTAGCAATTGTTAGTGTTGGACTGTCATACAGAAAAGCACAAAAGGGTTTATTATTCAAATACAGCTCTTTTTTTGTGTGAAATATTTTGTTCAGCTGTAACAAAAAAAGCCAGGGTAGAAGTTAATGTGTCAACCAGGGAACCTATTAACCTGAGGGGAAACGTGCCTGTGTGTGTGTGTGTGTGTGTGTGTGTGTGTGTGTGTGTGTGTGTCTGTGGTGGGGGTCAGATCCCTCTGGAGACAGAATGGGAGGGAGGGGAAGTCAAGGGAGTGGCTTGTTGGTATTATGTGTGTGTGGTGTTTGTGGTGGTGTAAATGTTTGTGTGTATGATGTGGCTGAGGGAGTAGAGCAGCAGAGTTGCGGACGTTCTGACTCCAAGAAGGTTACTGCTTAGAGGAGAGGGAGAGAGCAGCCAGTTCAGAAGGTATGTCACTGTGCTTTTACAGCTGTACAGTAAAGTTTCTTAATATTTTCCCTCTATTTTTCTTTTGTACTGAAAAGTCATTCAGAAGTCTTTCCTCATCACTCTGTGCTTGTTTCCTCCTGGTTGGAGAATGGGATGTTCCTGGCTTTGTGTTTGCATTTAAGGTTTGTGTACTTAGTGCTTTATTGAGCGAGAATCTTCACAGATATGCTTTATCGTCGTGGGTCACTTTTTGTTAATCTAACTTGGCAGTTTTAAAAATTACTGGTTAATTTATAAAGCTCGCTGTAAAATTTCCATGGGAAGAAGTAACTTTTGAAAGAAATGAGAAAAAAAGCTCATTTAAAATTTGCTATTTGAATTGGATGAATCAAATTTGTAGCTTAGCCTGCTGGCTAGGTGAGCTCAGGTAGGCTGTTGTTTCCATCATGGTTTCATGCGGCTGTGGCAGTCTTTTTTTTCTTGGCTCATAGAAGTTGGTAGCGAGCTTCAGAACTAATCCTTGCAACCAGTGATGGTTTGTTACAAGGTGAGAGAGCCTTTGTGTGTTTGTGTGTAGTCTTTAAGAAAAGAGAAATAACTGAGACATTGACATGTGATGAATTGTAGTCAGTGCGAAAGGGATTGAGACTCTGAACTTCTGCGGGTTTCCTCAGCCCAGACGGTGTGCGATACAGAGATGATTGCTACTGTATTATATTTTTGGGCGCTAAGCCGAGTGTGCGGTTCCTCCGGCTGCAGTAATGGAAAGTGAACTGCTAGGTTTTCACTTTTCTCTTCAATGGCAGGCATCGGGACCCTCAATAGTCTGACCTCACCAGTGGTGCGGTGGATTTAAGTTTAATGTGAAAGTGGAACATTGCAGCTCTCAGTAGTAATTTGCGTTTGATCACAGTTGTCTGCGCTGGGTGAAAATGGAGGTGTGTGCCTCAGTGTTGTTGTTTCTTTCGGGTTCAGAGGAGTCCTCACAGCCCACGCTTTCCTGTGGTCACAGGAGGAGACAGTTTTTTTTTTACAATTTGAAAATTCTGCTGTTGGTCTGACACAGACTCCTGACGGGATGAGTGGTTGGCGTGTGCTGGTCTGGGATGGTGTCAGTGTTTGTTCCACGCTGTCAGGTCCTTTCTGCTGGAACTAGAGGGAAGCCGCTAATGACAGCATGGTGGCTGGCAGCAGGTCCACAGCTTTGGTCTCCATCTTCAGTTTCACTTTGTCCTCCCTTTTTTTCACCCTCCTTTGCTGTCTGTGAGAAATATGTTCCCTGTGGTTTAGTGGGAGCTTTGAAATGACGGCTCTCTGTCTGACTACTGGTCGGAGCAAGAGAGGGTGAGGGGGATCGGGGAAGGAAAGATTTGTTCTCTTTAATCAAGTTTATGGCTCAAACACAATTATCTCCCCCTGTGACTCTTTGATTGAGTGACTCCACTTAGAGTGTGTGGGGGGTGGGGGTTGAGGGGTTTCTTTTGTGTGAGTCCTCTCACATTATTTGACTACTTTTTCTGTTTTGTTTGTTTTCCCCAAACTCATCAAACATTTTAATGAGCCATTAAAGGAGCATTCAGCTAAATTACTGTTTCCAGCTGTGTGGCTCATTAAAACAGTGACATTTACCGTTGTCTTGAAAAGCTGAGGAGACATCTACGAGTGGGTGCATTTTTTTTCTCCTATTGGAAAAAGTGAAAGCTGGAAAATTTGACATTGGATGAGCACTTACGTGGATTTACATATTTCTTTTTTATCTACAGACTAAGATAAATTTCTCCTGGAAGATTCCAACAAAAAAATGACTTACATGACAAAGTTAAGATTTGACAGATTTAATCATGACTTTGAACGGGAGCTGAGCCACTCAGAATTCCTCTTTTTTGTTCCCTCCACTGTCTCCTTCAGTGTTTGATTATTTTTTCACTTCAGCAATTGAGGTGCTCTGCCCTATAATCCGCTCAAGGTGGGGAAGGTCATTGTCAATAGAGCAGAAAACCTCCCTGAATATGACGTCCTCTCACTGGTCTATAGACTTGACCACGTTAACCTTCACTCCTCTTTTGAATGGTCTGATTACTCACGGCTTTGATTTAAAAGTAATTTAAAAGATCTGCAGCCTGCTTTTGAGGAGACAACACTAAAAGACCTGTTGACTTGAATTGTTGTCACATGCAAACTGACTGTAGCATGTGATTGTCTGACTGGACCTGTGTGTTCTTTTTAAATAGTGGGCTGTAAATCTTATTAAACAATTATATTTTCCACATTTAAAAGTATGTATTATATGTTTTTAGGGGACAACCAAGCCTTTATTGATGCAGGTATGTCTGTTGTTAAACACCTTAGCAATAATGCGCCATGACTTTTATTCCATTCATTGGAACATTTACAAGTTTCCAGTGTATAGTGGATTAGGAATTTGTACACATTTGATTTAAAGAGAGATGGTATGGATGTTTGTGTGCTTTTGTGAGCTTTGTTTGTGCAGCTGACTCTTGGAGAAACTCAAGGTCAAGCACCAGAGGCCCAGCAGCAGTGTCAGTATCTACAACATTTTACCTCCACACTTCAGCCATTTCCTTTCCATATGCCAAAACACTTCTACCTCTTAACATGGTTTTCCCAGTCGTGGTCCCTCCTGGTGCCCTAAAGCTGGAGATCAGGCTGCATATCATCTGAAAATGCAGCAGAGACAGCAGAGCCTGTAAGACAGTCGTGAAGCATTTCCTTATACTGTGTCTGTAACTTGCTTTTTCACAGGAGACAGAACGAGAGAGTCACAGTGAGCTGGAGCGCATCAGATCTCCGATTCAGGAGTTACACACCCAACAGACTCACCAAAGCAGAGAGCAGCAAAGGAAAGGTACGACACTGCTGATAGATCAGAATAATGGAACAGCACATCACAAAACACAAGAGCAAAGCCAAAATCTAATTTTCTTTTTGCACTTTCCTTTGGCTGCTGCTTTTAATATGGTGGATATAAAGTGTTGGTGTTTTAATGTGTTAATTCCATTCCTTTGTTTCTGTGTTTACAAAAAAAAAGAAAGTTTAAGACATCTTATATAATATTTTCCCTTGTTTTATCACTATGCTTTGCCCTTTTGCTCCTCTGAAAGAAACACTTCCTCTGCACCACACTGAACATGGGTGTTCTACAGAGTAACCCCTTTGTTGGTGAACAGGCTGGAGTCAGCCACCTTCACACTTATGTCACGTGTGCATATTATGCTTTTGGGATCACTGCAAAACAGAGGCTTGTGTATACTGTAGACGTTCCCTTAAAGGTCAAGTTTGAGTAGGTTCCAATAACACAAAACCAACACTGATCACCTCTGTTTCATGTACCTGTGACTGCAGAAGCATTTTCATCCTCGGCTCCTTTGAAATCAGTCAGCCAAAAAAGGCCGTTATTCTGAGGTGGCAGTCAGGAGGTCATATTAGTTTAGGCTCTTTAAGCTCCTTCATCCAGTTTTATTAAGTGTTAGGAGTCACTCATAGCCATAGACGTAGTTACTGACTTTTTAAGTGTCAAGTAATTTAATTAGGCAGTTTGTTAGTCGAGCTATCAATAAAGTCTCATGAATGCAAGCTTTCATGAACGAATGAATGTAGTTCGTTCACCTGAATTTCTGGAACTGAGAAGGAATATTTACAGAGTTAATAATGAGTAGCCTATAAAAGATAACAAATCTATTGTTGGCTTGCAGTAAATGGTAATTTGTAAAAATGTCCTTTTTATAGATGGTGACTTTTAAAAGGTAACTTTTATCTTTGACCTAAATAATATGTATATAATGTGTCGTATTGTGTGGTCTGCTTTGACCTGGCTTTGGATCTTGTTGTCTTTTACGTGGAGCAGGGGTTTGGTTCTGGGGTTACGAGAAGGAGCAGAGGAAAACCCAACAACCACACCTCTGCTAAATAAAGCAGATACCAGAACAGAACCAAGGCTCTCTTGACGTGGTGGAGAAGCTTCCCACTGCTCTTGAATTATCCCTACCTTACAATTTAAGCCAGAGTGAAACTGGTATCATCCATAAAAAGACCACTAAAGAAAAGCAAAGGAGAAATGTATATTTAAAAAGACACTGGACTTTTGTAGTCATGAAAGGATTGAAGGAATTGTTTATTTTGAGAAAAGTGAAACTGGTAGGAAGAAAAAGATACAGTTAGATGATCAGTATTCGGTTCTTTGAACGTAGCGAAAACACTTTACGTGATGAGCTGTACCTCAATAGACTCGTGCCAGCTGTACTTTGTTTCCGTACAGAATGCAGCAGGTAAGCCTATGATTTAGGAAATTAACTGTTTTAGTGTGGAATTTACCTTGTGTTTTAAGTCCCCCCAAGAGTTCCCAAAGGAACACTGACACACTTATTACAGTTTCACACAGCAACCCAGTGAGTGGCCTGAGCACAAGGCACATCTGGTGTGTTGCCATAAATACCAGGTCGCTGTCATTCAAGTCTTTGGTCTGCTGCAGTCGAGTCTCTATGAAGCATTGTGTTGTAACTCTGGTGAAGATTCCGAAAGAAATTGCTCAACTACTCTCATGTGAAGGGATTGCTTCAGTGTTGTTTTTAACAATTCCAGTGGTATAGCTGTTGGGATGTTAGTGATAGTCTTGTGGTTGATCCACTGCGTTAGTCACCACTGAAACGTCTCAACAACAACTTGATGCATTGCTAGTTGAATCCTCACTGCACCCTCGAGGATTAATTCTGCTGTATCCTCTGACCTTTTCTCTGATGCCTCTGTCCTGTTCATATACAGGATGTCCCTCAAAGGTTTGTTGCTCATAAAAAAAAAAAAATGTTTTCAAGTTTCAAGGATCAGGAAAGTCTTTAGTAGTAGATTAATTCATATTAAATCGGGACCATTTTGTGTAAAAGAGCAGCGGAAAAATTTCACACCCCGTCAGTTTATACACTGCCTGATTAAAAATGAATACATTTTTAATCTTCACATGGTGTGAGGGATTCCACATTTCTCCCTGGAGATCAATAAAGTATATTCAATTCAATTCAATTCAATTCAATTCAATTTATATTGACCAAAAAGTTGAAGGCTTGGATCCACATATGTTGCCATCCAGGTGGTTTATTTGTCTGTGAAGGTCTTGCTTATTTGGTGAAAATGATGCCAAACCACATTCTGCGTGTCATATAACATCATGGCCCTGTACTGAATAAAGTAGTTGCTAAACTACTAAAAACATTTTGAAAATTCTCAACCAAAAATATGACAGTGGAGGTCTTATACCACTGATCACTTAGAATTCTGGATGAAGCAAAAGAAAAGAAGCAAGTACATGATCTTGTTCCAACTTTATGATAAAAGATCTTCTATTGGCAATGAGTTTCGAATTACTTTGAAATTGCTGCGTTTTATTCCATAAAGGTCCTAACCTTTTGGGACCAGGGGTTGTAGACGGAGTGCCAGTATTGCACAGCTTTATTTTTTTCACGTTTGTTGAAACATTATAGAAAGCAAACACAGCATCTTTTATGGCCTTTCATTATCTCTAGAGTGCGACACTGGTGAACCCTTTACCCAAAGCCTGTTTATGATGAACATACTGGTCTTGAGCTACTGAAGTTAAAAAAGAGAAACAAAAATAGTTTTTGACCAGTTCACAGCGAGGACACTTGGGTCAGTGCTTCACTGTAAAGGCGGTATAAATAAATCTCATGGTTGTCCTTTGTTGTGCACTGGCAACAGCTTGCAGCTTTTTTTTATAGTTATTTTGAATTTTAAAGAAGCCTTTCATTATGCAGCAATGGGGATTTTCCCAGAAATTGCCACACAATAGGAATGATACCCTCCCCTATGACAAACATGAACAATAACATTAGTTTGTTGAAGAAGCAGCATGTTTTGGTGCTCACTTCAGTTACAGTTGACCAGTAATTGAATTTGAGTTGAAAGCATCATTAGAAATATCTGCTGCAATACACAGGCCAGTTCACATTGTCCTTTTTCTGACCCATACTCATGCTTTCTTTTCAAACTGCGTTATATAATCAACCGGTATGTTTAATTAACCATATGTGTCAAGCTTGTTGTATTTGTATCTATTGTTTTTGCGAAATTAGCATAGATTATAAAGTTGATGTATTTTATTTTGCTGATCTGCCTTTCAGATCACCTACTTTGAAAAAAAGTGCATCTTGCCAGGATCCATTGTATATTAAAGTTGAAAGTGACCGTGTTGGCTTCCTCTAGTCAGACCATGTCCCCTCTTTGATCTGGTTTTCAAATCCCACTCACATATGGAGACTGCCATTCGGTTGCAGAGCTAGATCATTCCAAGGTGTTTTTGTACATATGATTTGGGAACTGGATCCACTTTTGGTTTGTTTTCCTTATCTGTGGTTCATACACAACCTCAGATATCCTATCATATATCAGTTCCATGGAGTGCTGGACGTAGGAACTATCACAGTGGGAGGATGTGGGCACCTCTGTTGTTTGGACTGTGGTTTCCTGATGAGAGATAGAGCGGTGAAGGAGTTTAGAAAGAGGGAAAGGGAAGTGATTATATCTGTAAAAAAAAAAAGAATTTACCTCTTCTTCGCTTCTACTTCCCTCTCAACCTCTTGTTACTTACCAACTTTGGTTGGGATCTTCTACACTTCTTTCCTTTACACATACCCACCAACACAATCTGACCAATCTTGCTCAGGAACTGAGGTCAGTCTGGAGGAAATGTCTACATCCCCTCATGACTCCACATGCGTCCTGTATGATCCTGAGTGATGTTTTCTGGCCTGGTCTCTCTTTGGGCCCCAGTCCTGCGGAAGTATTTCATTTACATCAGTTCAGTTCAAATGTCGCCACCTACAGCTTCCTTTTGTTCAGAAATGAAGAACAGAAAGGTAGTTACGTTTAATTTATTTAAGATGTTCTGTTTTGTGGGTTTGTTTCTGTTTTTCACTGTGACAGGCTCCAATAACAACAACTCAGGCATGGTGTTGGTTCTTGATCACCTGGTAAAGGATGACTGCGCCGGACCACTGCTGATCAAGGCCCAGAGAGAGTCTGTGAACATGGACTCTGATCCGGTTCTGTCGCACCGGCAAAGGTCAGACTCTACAGCTTCAGACCTCAGTGTGAGCTCTGGGCTCTCTAAATCCAATCTGGATTTTGTGACCTCTGGAAAGAGTCTGGGCTCCAACTATCGAGCCCGGCTGGACTCCGGGGCCTCAGACAAGAGCCAGAGTTCCTTTCAGCGTGAGCGGCTAGACTCCGGCGCATCAGAGCAAAGCATCAGCTCTCTGTCTCATGCCAGACAGAGACTGGGTTCAGATGTATCAGATTCATGTTTCAGACCCCGTGTGGGTTCTGGAACTTCAGACGGCACTGGCCCGTTTTCCAGGAAACGGACAGACTCTGTGACATCTGACCGCAGTGTGAGTATGTCTTCTGAGGAGAGGGTTCCAATGGAGGAGGCGGAGGCAACCACCAGCGGTTCAATCTGCAGCACAGATTCAGAAACGGAGAGAAATAATTTTCCAAACAATGTTCAGACTGTGTCAAACCAGCACAACATTTGCGACCAGGAACAGCCAGACGGGGCTGTTTTGTCTCGGAGAGATCCTGTAAATGGCCTCGTCAATGGCAGTGGCAAGGAAAAAACAGACGTCCAGAAGCAAAAGGTAGAGTATGCAGTCTGTGGTGTGTCAGGTGTTATTTGTGAGTGGAAAATAATGTGCAGGTTTCTTTATAATGTAATGCTTAAATGCATACCTGAATAGATGTTTCATTGCATTAAGGAATGTGACATTAGCCACCTCTTTACAATTATCCCTTTTAAACACTATTGATCCAAAGTTATTTTGGACTGCATTATTTTTGTTTGATTTATGAAAATGTGCTTTGTAAGCGGGGGAGAAGAGTCTGCACTGAAATGCACTCAAGATGCTTTATTTTGTGTTTGATCCACGTGTGTCAGAGCAGCCACAGCTAGCTAAACATCTGAGTATTTGTCGTAACTGAACCACTAGAGTGGGGTGCTGAGCTGCTAGCCACAGTCAAGAGGACCAGCAACCCAAGATCTTTGTTTCATTATCCCTGACTGAAACTCCAAAACTCAATTCTTAGGTGACACCCAGGTCCCATCGCCATCCATAAAAGCACGTTGCTGGGTTCATGTTAGATGTTGTTTAACTTTTGTTACTTGGCTACACAAATAAACTGCACCTGCTTCACCTCAGCAGAGCATGAACACTGTTACATGCCTCTGTCTTAATCCCACAGCTCTGAGAACGCACAGAGCTTCTGTTTCTATGCTGAGTGGTAACTGTTGAGGAACATTTCCCATTTTGGGGGCTCTTGTCGACATGACGGCATTGTGGCGCTCTGCTAAATGTGTTTACCTAAGGCTGGCCCCGGACCTCTTTTATTGTTCACTGCAATATACGCTGATGTGCAGTCTCCTGAGAGTAATGTAAACACTGAAGGGTCCATCATGGTCATGCTGCCAAGAAAAGAACAGAGGACTGCAGTATATTTCTAAATACAAGTTATATAATGCAAATACCATCAGTTGTTGCTGTATTTAGGATTTTGGAGGTCCACGTGTATGTAGTTACACTAGAATCTGACATGTGAACTCCAGCTTCTCATGAATGTGCACAGTTAAAACACAGAGCTGTCCACTATAGTTGCCTTGTGCCTGTCAGTCCAAGCACAGAACCTGTTGACCTTTATTCTGCTCCACTTCCTCTACTGATTGTGTTGTCATGCGTCTTTGTTTTTCTTCCCCCATTTCAGATAACTTCTAACAGCAATCTGTCACTCACTCATGGAAAAGCTAAGGATTCTGGTAAGAAACTAGTCCGAGTCTCTTAGTCCTGCATAAAATTCCTTTACATGTAATCTGATTATCTTTAAAGATCTGCAACACCCCACCCCCCAGTCAAGTAGTCAAAACCCCGAAAAGTCTAGTTAGTTAGAGTTAAAACAAACATTTTTCTGAAGACAATTCCTCTTACCTTTGTCTGTTGTAGTATAGAGCACCATTTGTCTTTATTTTTTCCATTACAATGCAAAAACAAGATCCAAGAGTGTGCTAGAAAATCATGACTATAAGAGGTCAAGTAAAGTGCAGGGGGTGGAAAAAATCTCTAAAGTAGATAAAGAGTGATGGGATCTGTTGAGGGTTTCTGAGGAGCATGAAGAGATGATGGTAGCAAAATGCAATAACTTTGCTCAAATCAGCTTGAGCAATGGATGAGATCTAATCAGTAGTTCTTCTCATCTTTCTGTTCGTCTTTACAGTGTTGGAGAAAAAAGATGTTGTATTGGAGCAGGTAATCCGCACTAACTCGGTTCGTGATAGAATGCGCAAGTTCACAGAACCCAGCCCAAGCCCAAATATCTCAGTTTTCAAGAAAACCCCTCTAAGGAATGGACCCTCCTTTGGCAGCAGCCAGACAAATTTCTCCAGAGCTGCTGAGGTCTTTACACAACCTGCAGCATCCCTCAGCACATCTGGCCACAGGCCAGCAAGGCCACGAGTGGGCTCGGCATCTAACACCACTGATGTATCCCAGAGTCAAACGGCACCTCAGCCAAAAGGTGGGGCTAGCAAAGCTCCTTCCTCAACCAGCCAATTACAGAACCCAATGGGTGGGACAAGACTTCCAGCTGAAAAAGATGTGCACGCCTCTTGTGAGTCAAAGGAAGACAGAACCCCAGGAAAAGCAGCCGGAACAAAGGTCCCTCAGGGAGAGGAAGACTCAGACATGAAGACGTTCCTCACCATTGAGATCAAGGATGGACACACCACTACCACCTCCACCACATCCACTCCAAGAGGCAACATCATACCCATAACCAACATGACCCCACGTATCACCACTATGGGGCAAAGACCAGGTAGGAGCATCTATCAATCCAACTTTTAAAGTCTGCATTGCTAAAGCCTTCGTGTTTCTACTAATAGGAGTCTTTATTTAGTGACTTGTTCTTTTCTTGAAAATGTCAGTGGAATCCCACCGTAGGAGGTGATTGGCCCAAACGAATCAGTCATAAGTGGGATGCTGACAAGAGGTTTTGTGATGCCAAAGAAGCAAAGCACATGCTTGAATGCAAATAGATGTTGGGGCTGAATAATAACTGGCACGATGGCACTAAAGAACATTTGTTGTGGAGTGGGCATATCTGTCAGTGTGGAGGGGGTGAGGTCACTGGTCAACAGCAGAAAACATATTGTAAAGGCTGTGCCAGCCCCGTCTGAATAATATTACAGTTACTGGACAAATGAACAAGACTGTCTGCCCACACAATGCAATGCTTTGTTTGTTGTACTCTGTAAATGGTGTTTGCCCCTTCCTAAATATGCATACTTACTACTATTAATCAGCATATTTATATCAAAGTGAAAGTGCTGAATCAGTTTGAGAATCAAGCTTTTTGGTCACATTATACTGAAATACGTTATTTTTCTCCATGTGGTTGAATACTTCCATTCTGATATCTGAGTAGACTGTGAATGTTTTTGTCCTTTAATTGTCTGTTAAAGAAAAAGATTTAAAAGTGTTTATATGTTAAAATGCAAGTTGTAGCAAGACAACAATAGTTTGATCCATTTTTTTAATTCATTGCACAACCAAACTCAACACACAACCAAAATTCCACTTGGCCTGAGATGTGGTCGCTCACTAAAAATTATGTTTAAAATAATCAGAATATTTTCATTTTGTTAACATTTTCTTTCTTATTAAATTGGTTGATATATCTATTAATTTTTAAGCAATTAAGGTTGTAGGTACTAAAGCTACAAAACTTTTACAAAAATATGTTAAAAGGAGTTTTATGCAGCTGCTCAAGTGTAAATGTCATATTTTTATATTTCCATCCTATCAGGTATTAGACATTATGAGAGTATGACATAATCCATCCAACAAATGCATTCATTCTATGAAACAACGAAAAAATTTAAATTGAAGTAGTTAATCCAAAACAAAAGTTGAACCTGTGCAAATCTAACTTAAACAGAAAAATGTAGAAAAAAAAGTTTACGCCCAACAGGGATCGATTGGTGTTAAGGTCTTCAGCTCCTTTTTTGGGAACCTGCCTGTCTTGCTACTGAAGGCACCCTGTAATTTTGTCTCAGGTTTCCCTATAAAGCACAACAAAGGCTTTTAAATAGGTAATGTGCTGTGCTGGGGAGCATCAAGCCTGTTTTTTCTGGAATTGCTTTGTACATATGTATGGATGGGGAAGGGAAGCATATGTGCATAGTCTTGGAGGTGACTGAAGAATTCTGTTTATGTTAAAGTGGCGTCACCTACATTTTCTCACTTGTCCCATACTAGAGAAATGTGTCTGTTTTGTTTAGGAGACTCTGGCAGCTTATGCAACTGACCTATGGTGTACACCAGCAGTACGCAAGACCATGTATACTTGTAAATGTACACGTATTCACAGATACCAGATGCTCTCTCTAAGAACTGTACTAATATCTCAAGAAATATTTCTGATTTTAATGTCAGTTTCCTGCATCTATTTCAGAGTTAACCCTCGGCTTAAGAGCAACACCATTCAAGATTTCTTCGTCTTCCTTCTCATCTGGACCCTCCATCAAGGTACAAACTTCAGAGCGGATCGTTTATTAGAACTGATTGCAACACTGAGGCTACAAAGAAGCTTTACAGGGCTTATTAAACATTCATAACAAAAATATCTCCATTTGTTCCCAGTTTAAGATTAGTTGTTTGTTCTTTTCACCTTCTGGTTAATCTCCAGTCAAGTTTTTTCTATTCTGAGAGTGTTTGACTCAGAAATCACCTATAAAGGCCTTAAAAGCAGGCAAGCCAGGAGAGTGAAGGGAGGACAGAGTTTGAGAGGAGGAGGGAGAAGAGGGAAGGACAGTGTTTATCAAACACAGAGTGGGTAGCCATTCAAATCTGTCCTTGTAGGGTATGTGCAGAAGACAAGAAGACCCAAGGAAATGTTCAGGCCATTCCAAGATTTCTTTCTGCAGGCCGTGCCTGAATCTTATCAGGATAGAGTTTCCCTAAGTCACACCTGTCTTTATCCACTTCAGTTGTTGACCAGCTGTTCAAAAGAACAAGTTCTTTGTCCTTTTTTTTTAAAGATGAAACTATGTGCATCCTCCAATTAGCTATTCTGCTCTTAGAATTTAGAGAGAGTACAAACAAATACCGTCCCGTCTCGGTGACCTCTGAGGTTAGGGACAACAGCTCGAATGTCATTTTATTCATTCCTTTAACTTGTTGCTTCGCTGTGAAATGAATTGTCATCATGGATGCAGATTTGAGCTTTGAGAGAGTGAGGAAATCATGAAATGACGTCCGGTTTGCCAGTAATACTGCTACTTAGCAGTATGACAAGTAATTCTTCTAACGAGATTGTAAAAACAGCAGCTTGAAAACATTGTTGGAAAACTGCACCCCCTTTGCAACCCAACTTTCGTGTTATTTTCAGGCAGATCTAGACACCTCCTATTTTTCTAACTTTCTCCAGTTTAATCACAGTGGTATTGGGGTGAGGCAGAAATGTCATCATAAATGAACATTTTACCAACACAGAGTCTTAATTATAGTACAACATTGTATGTCGATATCAAGGCGGTCCACAGCAAAAAAAAAAAGAGTTTTCCAATCTCCCTCCTGTTGAGCAGCGTTAATTGTTTATTGTCCACTGCAGTTCCTGGTTGAAACTCTGATCCGGTTGGGTGGTCTGGTCTTCTCCAAGGTGGTCTAACCTCTGCACTTAAAACATCTACTTTTACTTTGTAGCGTTTTTTTTTATTTTGTTTTTTGTTTTATCCCAGTAAAACAACATGATGCTGATATTGTCAGTTTTGGAGTAGATTTATTGTTTAAATTCAACCAAAGATGCGTTTGTAAGATTTAAAGATAGAATTAACAAAGTGGTTTCTTGCATTTATAGTGAAGGTAAAGATGAATCATCTCTAAGGTCAGGATCCTTTTCGTGTGTGTGTTTCTGACAGGTGAGAGCAGCAGCTAATCATTTTGATCACAGCTGCCCTGGTTCATCTGAGCGGCCCACATGCTGATCATTGCACTCAGCCTTGAACGCAAGCATAAATAATACTGTAGCTTTATAATGAGAGTGATGACAGTCCAGTCAGTCCAGTCTTCCTGAAGTCACAGACATTACTGCCAAGCTCTGGGTCACGTTGGCTAAGTGCTGCTGTGAGAAAAGGGATACACAAACCCACAGTCATTGACAGATTGCCTCACTGTCCAACAGATGGACAAAGACCCCATTGTTTACCTGCTGATCTATGACACATGTTTGTTACACAACCAGTCCACATGTGTCACAGAAGGAATCTGATATCTGGTGTCCCTGCTTCTTCGTTGGATTGAAATCTCTGCTTTGTTTTACGGTCGAGGCTAGATGTTGGACAACACTGTCGCCCACTTTGTGATGTCTCTGTGGAAGTTCCACCAAATTGATCTGTTTCTACTGTCAGAGTAAATTTGGCTTTAGAAAACTGTCTCTTTTGTTGTCTTGCTTTGTTGCAGGTGAAATGCTCCCAGTGTAAGACAAGAGCAGTGACCCACTTTCTCTGTCCGCAGCTGGTATTTCTCTGTTCCAGGGAACTGTTCTGCTAGCCTTTTAAGTCCAGGGACAACCGTCCTCCTTTGACATATTGTCCTCCTGTGGGTGGCAGTGATTTGATCTTAAATTACTGATAAGTCTTCTGTGTTTGCACTATCAATGTTTAGCATGGCAAGTCATGACGTTTGCATTCAAAAGGAGTAATTAAATGTCAAACAATAGGAGAGAGATGTAGGTGTCCGTCAGCTCTCATAATTTAACACTGCAACATTGAGGCTTCCACATGAGCCGCAGCTGGACTCTCTTTAATTTGTCAAGTCTTAAGGCAAGTCAGAAGGCGCTGTGATGTCCTTTCCAACATCCTTGCCCAAAGATTTTTAGAACTGTGCCTCAGCTTACCCTCTCTGGGCGCCTGGCCTGCTCCGTCATGTTTCTAAATGTTTTGCCCTTCATGGACTGATCTTCCCTTTGGACATCTGCTTTGCCATACAAAACAAGTGAGTTGATTAGTCAGGACTCACATTTAGTTAGAAAGCTGTTTTAAGAGGAGTGAAACACTGATGTGTAACCCTTTCATCATAGCCCTGGCCTAGAGCCACATCTAAACCCTTGTTGCCTTCCTGTCGAGGCGTGAAGGACATGACCTAAATAAAAGGAAAGTTGAAGTGGGAGGGGTGAATTTTCTAAATTGTTGCTCCTCTCACCTTCTCTCCAAGAGTGACTGGCAGAGTGAAATAATGGCGAGGCAAAATATAAATATACATGTCCCCAGCACCTGGAAATATGTGGGTGGGCTATGACTGCGAAAAAAAGGCATCACTGCATGCCCATTGGCTCTCAGGTTGTCTTCCGGTGGCAAGGGGGATATCCATGAGTATAAAGTAAGGGCCTCATTTTAGAAGGTCTCAGACAGGCAGAGAGGAAGGCTGTGTCTCCTGTCAGAGAGACTTTTTTTCTGTGATCTAACACATCAAACCTAAGTATCAAGCAAAGAAGTCACACTGTGGGTGTAAGACTAAGTAGTTTTCTGTGGCCATGCCTGGAGTGGACCTGGACTTCCTTCCGGCCTCACAGCCTTTGGATGCTTTGGGCAGTCCAGATAGTGACTGTGCTGAGTCTGGCCTGGAAGAGGCGATCGGGGATCTGCTTGCACGGCAAGAGGGTGAGGATGAAGGAGAACAGCGCGACGATAAAAACCTTGAGTTGAAATTACAGTGCGCTTTAAGGGAGGTCCACAGTGACCTGCAGGCCTTTGGGAAGCAAGTGGATGCCCGTCTGGAAGAGGCAGCAGCTCAGGTGGCTCCTCTAGTCAAAACCATCGCAAAGCTGCAGGAGGATAACTCAAAGCTGAGGACAGAGCAAGAGAGGATGATAAGGCAAGTTGAGGCCCTGTGTCAGATGATAGGACTTCCAAATCCCTTAGTGCATGAATATAACTGCAAGGAAAGCTCATGTTCAATTCCAGGTGAAAACAAAGCGTCATCCAGTGATGCCTCATTATGCACACACCAGGACAGTGCAGATGAACCTCTGTGTGATAGTTCGGTCACTCCACGAGATTCTCCTTCTATTACATCCCCGGAGGCACCAGCCAGTACGCCTCAGACAAGCCTTTCCCAAGAAAATATACCAAGCACCCAAGACTCACTCACATCCTCACCTGAGACCAGCACCTCTCTGGCATCAGAGCCATCACCATTTCCTCACCCACCAACCTTTGCGACCTGCCGATCCTTCTCTGCTCCATCTTTGATGGCAAGCCCATCGTCAAACAACAGCACGGTATTGCTCTGTGTCAATCTTTTAAATCACGACCTTTTTATAATTCAGGCAAACCACCTGAACAATGGAAACATTGTTTGTTTCAATATTTCCGGCGTCGGTGTACCAGCTGGTCATGACTTTGACGTGCCATGCTTGTGATGCTATCTGGGGTCTACTTGTGGACCTGCTGTTCAACTGATAGCATTCAGTTGGTTTTAATCATTCATTATGTCATCACTTCAAGTGAAAAAAAGCTTGACCATCTCAGCTGTCAGTCATTGTTGACAGATAGTGTTTATGTGGAGGACTTCATGCGATATGCCACGGAGGTATTCCAATCCTGTAACGCCATTTGTCGCTGTGTGTCTTGGCCCGCAGTGTGTCTACGCGTCGGTGTTCAGTTGAGTGGCTACACCTCAGTGTGGAAGACAAAATTATTACACTTCACTGCAACAGTTTGTGATTAGCCACTGATATGTCATGTTGATAGCTGCTGCTAAAGGAAAATGTCTGGAGACAGGCCACAGAAGTGACAGTGTCACAAAGGTCCTGCCAAGAGATGGGCCAATTCGTGATGCTTTCCTAAATTATTCATATCAAAACAAATAAACAAACAAAAAAACAGCTAAATACGTATATGCTTTAGATTTCTGTTGTTAGAATGAGAGTTGGACTGAAGGTCTTGCATTTCTAATGGATTAACACTTATCTAAAGGCTTATTTGCTCAATTGGGAGCTTGAAATCCCACAACAAACCCTGTGTTAGCATTGATAACATTTTTAGGGCTATTGGACATTTGTTGCATCATCTACACTTATTCAGTCAAGCAAAGTTCATATCTACTCTAATCCTGAAAAGGCAGCTGAGCCTGTCAATCAGCTGTTTCCATAAAGGTGATTTAATCTTTTCAGTTGATCAGGATGATGACCATTGACCTAATCGGAAGATGTTAGTCCATGTATGTGCCAAATGAGCAGTTTATCCCAACATTTTCTATTCAGAATTGTATTTGTAGAGTCTTTGTTTTGTGATTTTTAAGCTAATCATTGTTGGCCTGCTGCCACCAGAGAAAAAGATTGAATTTAGGGCTTTGTTTATTTGGGAGTTTTTTGCCCCACACATATACTCCCTCAGTGGCTGACTCAGAGCCTCTGTTTAGCTGCGCCGTGTCCCAAAACATTCTTCATCGGTCAAGTGGCTCTCAGTCCGGCCTGTCCCTGGGGTCAGAACTCTGTGTTCAATAAAGTCTCAAAACCACTGGCCACCTTTGAAAAGACAGCTTTGTGGTTAAACTGGGCATTGTTCCTCCCTGGTGAGACGCAGAGAAGTGGGTAATGCAGCTGGGGATATGAATAGAGCATGTTATCTGAGCTATATCTAAACCTGGACTCAGTTAGAACTGAAATTCTGGAGCCTATAGTCTGCCACAGGCATTCAACAACATATGAAAATGTAAGAAGTTTGTCTAAGCTTTGGAGTTACTAAGAATATACCAGCTCATATTGCGGTTTATATATTAACTTGTTAAGGGTTGTTTATTCTTACGGTTTTCTGCCTTCTTATTTATGTAGTTATTCCTCTGTGTATTCTAGAAACGTTGGCATTTCATCAGAATGTCCGCCCCCTAATGCATTGCCCCTGTTCAACACCAAAAGTATCACATAAAGAACTACTTGGCTGGAACCTGTAGATATTAAGACACTCTGTCAGTCACGCCTCTTGAGCTAAATGAGCAGTAACTTGGCAGAGTTTCTCCATCATGTGTTTACTGTTCCGCTCTCTGGCAAGTCTTGGAAATAGAGGGGTTCAGGAGATATGGGGAATGGGCGGACTTTGTGCAAAAGGAGATTACAGGGCGGCAAACATCATGCCTGCTTTGGTCGCAGTTTGTTTGAAATAAATCCTATTGTGTTTATTATGAAATGAATGTCAGCTAGCTACAGATTAGTTCTTAAAGCCTCCTTCTAGCCTGGCTTGTGCTTAAAGAAAAGGCGTAGCTCGTAGATTGGTCACAGCTATCTTTCTAAGACGAGCTGCAACAATATCTGGGAGCCTCGCAACCTGAGATTGATCAAAGTATTTGTCTTTGCTTTTTCTTTTCTTGTTTTTTGTGGAACTTGTGCAGATGGAGACGGAGCCTGTTGTTGCATCTGAGCCGATATTTTCAGCTGGATCAGCTGTACAGGTGGTGCATCACATCCCAGATATCCCCAATGGCTCCAGCACTCAGACCAAGACTGTGGAGTTCTCAGGAAAGCTGACAGCTGAGAAGCTTGCTGCAATCGAAGACGAAGAGCTCCTTGACAAAATGGTAATTAATGCTCATTTTATAGTTGAGGATGGTTTGAAGAAATGACCACTTTGTAGAGAGCTTGTGTATCTGTGATAAATGCTAAACTCTTTATCAGATTTGCATATGTTAGTGACGTTGTGTTGTGTCAAGATAGTTTTATGTAGAGAAAGACCACTCTGTGGCTAATTGCTTTGCTTTGTTATGATTTTACAGCTCGATGAGTCGAAAGACTTTGAGGAGAGAAAGATGATCAGGGCAGCCATGAGAGACCTTCGCAAGAAAAAGAGAGGTAGCTGCATTCTGAAGACTATCTTTCATTTTTTCTCTCACAGCACGGAAGCTTTTGTTACCATTGCTATATTATTATGGTTTTAACATATCGAAGACAGATGCTGCGTGTTTATTATAAAAATGGAATTTCTTTACAACATTCTTCTTTCATTTTCTTGTACATTAAAATACTTGAAATGTATCCATTCTGCCCTCAGAGGCCATGCTGGGATGTACTCAAGAAGAAATGGGTATGATGGGTGGTTTGCAGTGTGATTTAATACTCGGTGTTTGCTTGGGTTTGTCTTTCTGTGTGCCCATCACGTTGTTTTCAGACCACTACAGGGTGTTTTTCAATTTTCCCAGGTAGTGGTTGATGAAGGCATTTTCATTCATTTGCATGAACCCTGTGTTTTAATATTTAATAACAATACAGTCATACCATGTTCACTCTCACCTTCAGTTTTGTCTGTTCATAAACACTTGCATTGTGGTTTTACATTGAGCTGTCAGACTAATTCTAAAATCTTAATTTTGCCAGTAACATAACGTCGGTAACGGTAAACTTACATTGAGCACATCAGTTACCCCTGGTTCTCTAACACTGGATAAACAAGAACTAAAATTAGATAAAGAATAATGCTCCCGATAAATACTGAACTGTGTGCTTAATATAAATACCGGTCAGCGCTTGAATGTACAAGTACAAGTATCAGTATTTCTGACTAGGAACTAAGTGCATTTGCTCTCTTTGATGTGTTGATATACTAAACCTCCCACTTGTAAAGAGAAAGTACAGTCCTGGGAAGAGAGGTATATAGCTCATCACTCGGCTCTGGAACCTCAGATTTAATTAATCTTTGCGGTTGTCAGAAGAGGTGCTGTCAACTTATTTGAGACTTCTCATCCTCCTCCTCTCTTTTTTTTTTCCACTGACATAATCTTTCATTCCCTCTCTTCCACCCCAGACCAGAGAGAAAAGGAGCGTGAGACTCGACTGCAAGAGCTGCGGCAGCAGAGAGAAGAGCGAGGGCAGAAGGGCGGTGCTGGGCCCGGAGTTGGAGAGGTGGTGATGAAGAAGGTGGAGAAATCAGCAGATGGTTCAACCGTCAGCCAAGTCACCAAGACAAATCGCTTTGCACAGTCTGGTATTTTCTGAGCATTTCTCCCGTCTTTTTTGTCCTTATCATTATGTACATTCTGTCAGGGGAAAAAAAATGTTTTTGTGTAAAATAAATGGTCAGTGAAAAGTAAGTTGTGGTAATATGTTGTCATGATGTTGTAGCCTGTCCAGTAACTTCATGTGGTGTGCTCTTTCAGATGATGGGAGCAGGTCAACACACAGCACTATAGTGGAGTCCACTTATGTGCAGAAAACAGACAGTGAGTAATGACTCTCCTCTTCGTGAATTGTGTTTCATTTCACAATAATACCGTGTAACTTATGTGTCGTTTTCCATGTGGTCTCAGGAGGATCAGTGCAGTCTAAATCATACAGTTACACCTCCTCCTCATCCTCTAACACAAGCAAAAAAGTAGGCAGGTATGTCACAAAGCATCAGCCTTCCAAATACAGAATATAATGCCAGTTGTGACACTTTCACAAATGAACTCCCCCTCATGTCATCAACTCCTCAGCGTGTTCGATCGTGAGGATGACACTTCATCTCGAAATGGCAGCAGCGGGTTGGCCGCTATGGAGCGACGGCAGGCAGAGAGGCGCAAAGAGCTGATGAGGGCTCAAACGCTGCCAAAGACGTCCGCCATGCAGGCTCGTAAAGCCATGATAGAGAAGCTGGAGAAGGAGGGAGGAGGGTAAGGATAAGATATGGACTCTGCGACCAATCCAAGCCAAAGTATGCGAATATTAACATCTTATTTTAAAACAAACTTTTCTTTTAGGCCTGGAAATCAGGCAGTGGCCAAAGTAAATAGGGTGCAGCGTTCAACCAGCTTTGGTGTGCCAAACGCAAACTCCATCAAGCAGATGCTCCTCGACTGGTGTCGTGCCAAGACGCGCATGTACGAGGTGAGCCGGCCATCCACCGCAGTCCTCTGTGTGTTCAGTTCTCATCCTCAGTGTGGGCCAGTAAAGCTCCAGCTCAGCCAGGCCTGAGACAATGCTTTCCTTCTTTGGGATTCTAGCTGCCACTTCCCTCATATCTGCTGTGTGTCTCTCCTCCTCAGCATGTGGATATCCAGAATTTTTCCTCCAGCTGGAGCAACGGCATGGCGTTTTGTGCCCTGGTGCACAGTTTCTTTCCCGACGCCTTTGACTACGACTCCCTGAGCCCCAGCAACCGCAGGCATAACTTCGAGGTGGCCTTCAGCGCCGCAGAGTGAGTGCACACAGCAGACTGTTTGTGTTTGTTTGTTTTTTTCACTAAGCAGTAGACAAACAGCGTCCACTGCGGGAGCATTGGATTTGGTCATTTGGGCAGAGAATGAGTGTGGAGAGAAACCAGCCGGTGAAGCTGCAGCGCTCCTAGTTTTCTCTGTGACTAAATAAAAATCCAAACAATGTAACCCGGTTTAACACACAAACAGATATACTGATTTTCTTATTCCTCTCTCTCAATCAAATTGACCTCACTCACCTTCTTGCCAACATCTACAAGTCTAGAGGCCAACCTGAACGGATGCCTCAGTGTTAACTTTCCCTGTCTCTCACAGGTCTTTCAAGCCTCCCTCAAGGCAGAGTGAGCTGTTTATTACTCCAATAACTCTGCTTCTAAATCTCCTCTTTGTACGTCCCCTGCTTTGAGTAACTGCTCTGACACCCTCCATCTGCTACCAAAGACCCATGAACAAACCCCCTGCATAAAACGACCTGGTTAATAAACAGTCAAGCTCAGATACCCTCCCTTCATTTTATCCCTGATTTCTTTGCTTTGTTTTTCTCATTTCCTCTGCATTGTGCCATTGTCACTTTTATTGACCCACTCACATATGTGTGCAACTTCACATGCTCTCAGTAGGATGAGGTCCAAAATGTTGTTGCTGGTGATTATTTTTATTGTCTGCACTGGATTCTCCACTTTGCTGTGCTGCATCATGGCTTGCTTCTCCAAGCACTGCAGATCCTGCCTACGTTTTGTTGTTATGTTGTTATTTAGACTCCCCACAGGCACTCACACACCATCTTTTGCACAACTGTAGATCCACCATTTTTTATCTATGTGGGTTTTTTGCTGTTGTTTTTTGACTGTGTCATATAGATGTGGGCAAAATGAATGTCTCAAGGCACAGAAAAAACAACAATAAACAAAAAAGCTAAATGAGCATCACCTAAAGCTCATTTTATCTTTTGTTTTGTCTTATGTATGTATGAATGCCACAGACTGTATCTATTGTCATGTTCATGATGCATGTCATCTCATGAATATATATATGTGAACACAAAATGTAATGTTTGTTTTGTTTTTTTGTTCTTCCCTTTTTCTCTGTTTTTTTCACTCTGGATCTTTTATATTGGCTGCTCACGGCTTTGTTTTTTCTCCTCCTTTTTCCTCTCTTTCCTACACCTCTCCCTCTGTCATCTGTCGTCCTTGGCTTGTCCTGCCTTTCTCTTCTGTGTCCTTTTGTGTGGGCCTTCCACTTCCCTCTCCCACCTCCCCTCTCACCACCCTCACCTTTGGGTGGGGCACAGGAAACTAGTGGACTGTCCCCAGCTGTTGGATGTGGACGACATGGTGAAGATGCGTGAGCCAGATTGGAAGTGTGTTTACACGTACCTGCAGGAGTTCTACAGGGGCCTGGTGACGAAGGGCCTGGTTAAAACCAAAAATTCCTCCTAGAGTCGCGCCTAAAACTAAAGCTATGGTGAGATGGGGCCCGTGCTTCAGTGGGAGCCTCGCTGTGGTTCTGAAGGGGATGGAGAAAGTGTGTTCTTCTGGGCTTGTTTCAGGAAAATGGAAAAAGTGTGGAGCAGAAATCTCCTTTAGTGGGTGCTTTTGAAGTTTAGCCTACATCTGAAGCTGAAGTAACTGGAGTCCAAAGCACCAAACATGGTGTTTGCTTTTATGTGTGTGTGTCCATGTGTGCATCTCTGCATCGCCACACTATGGCCCAGGCAGAAGGCCAGGACCATCTGCAGCTTAACACTTAAAAAGGAGCTGCTGTATCGCAATGTTTCAAACAGGGAGGATGAGAAAAGAAGCAGAGAGAGGAAACGGCTTTGTTGTCTGCTGACTTCTGTCAAAGCAACAGGTGTTTATGCTCTTGGCTTGTAAAGCCATTTAAAGAAACTGTAAAAGCACAGCAGAGCGTGACCTTTGTCTGTAATTCCTCAAATAACAAAATAAAGCTCATGTTGACATATTTCGTCTCTTGCAAAGAGATCCATCCCCATGTTGTTTTGTCTCCAAGGGCTGGCTGTGCGTGGTGATTCTGCCTCCCTGTGGCCACTCGCTGCATGGCTCAGACCGCTCCCTACGCTGTTTATTGTAACCTGGATTACCAAAGTTTATCCATGCTGAGCCTTTAAAAGGTTTTCCACGTACTTGTTTAAAGAAAACAGAGATTAAGGTTGAGACGAATGAAGAGCCAGTAGGAAGAATATTTGAGAGTTTTACACAAACTTCTCTAAACTGGTTTGGGGATTTCTCGATTAAAAAACACTTAGTGGATTAATGAATAATCACAAGCGGCACGTGGTGGTTCAGAAGTCTTCCGTCCTCTTCAGTTTCTGGTCATCTGCCATCTCATGTGCTTGTCCTCTGTTTCATAAACTGTCCTTTATACCCATTCCCAGGACCTACGCCAAGTGCATGCCTTTACTGGAAGTGGAAGACATGATGATCATGGGTAACAAACCAGACTCCAAGTGTGTCTTCACCTACGTGCAGTCTCTGATCAACCACCTGCGCAGATATGAGATGTCCATGGGCCGCCCCTGTGACCTCTGACCTGTGGGCACTCAGACTGGACATGGCTTCTCCCCTGCTTTCTCTTCAGTGGCGCGCAGCTTTCAACAACCCCCTCGTTTGTGCGCTTGTTTCTTTGTGTTGGTTTATTTAGCATGTTGGTCATTATTTCAGTTCCTTTTCTTTACAGACTATCTTCACAAAAAAATTGACCTTTTTCCAAAGATAGTGTCTAAGTTTTGAATATACCTTTTTATGGTTTCATCCCCCAGTCCTTTTTTTCCTACTCTGCTTTCGACCAGCTTTAACGTGCAGTAGCGCTCACTTTGCCTGTGTGCAGAAAAACACCCCAAAAAAAGAGAAGTGAAATGTTTTATGGTGTTTCCTCTTTTAAAAGTATTTTTAATTACTTATTCTTGTAATTATTTTAAGTAATTAGCCTCATTTTGTCAGCACTTCTCTTGATAATTCCACTTGAAATGAATCCAAAACATGTTGCATCATCTGCTGTTTATTTTGGTACTTTTACATTTTGAACTAAACTCTTGTTGCTTGATTTATTGACTAAGTTATTGTCATTTTCATGCCTGTGTTACTAATGCTGAATACACGCGCGCAGGGATAGCATTTGTTTACTGTTCTAGTTGATTTAGCAGTGGTTCTGCAGTCCTGAGGAAAGTTTCTGAACTCTGCAGAGCCACTGAGAACAGCTAATGTCAGCAGCCCAGGCCGGTCAGACACCAGTGAGTTCCAGCTGGACTATGCTGAAGGACAGCAGATGATCCCACCACACTGTCATCCCTGAGCATCACTGTGTCACCTCCCAGATACTTTCTCACAAGTCTTTTAAAGGGCTCTTTATTTATGCTAAAGTAGATTTTATTTTCAGTATTTCGTGCTGTTGTTTTGGTGTGTACATTATGCTTTTAAGGGTTTGGTTCAAAGTAAGGCAAAAGGCTGAAACTATCAGCTTTCGATATAAACACAAGTAGTCGTGACTGAAAATTGCTTAAGGGCTTTAAAACATTTTTTTTCTTTTAGTATTTGTAAAATTAGTTGGCTTTTGCGAAAATGTTTTAAATTTAGTTTCAGAGTTACATTTTTGACTAAACATGTTCCGTTTTTGTAGATTTGAGAAGTTATTTCCAGACAAGTGGAAGGCTCCTCTAAGCTGCGAGTGGTGTGTGTGTATGTGTATATAAGAGCTTGAACACAATAATTTCATGTTTTTGGGCACCACATTGAAATGTGAATTAACAAATAAACCATGTGAGTAAATGGATGTTTTATGGTAATTATTGTTCTTTCAAAAACCACTCGGGAAGCATTCATATTTCCGTGCAGTTTACAGCTTTAGAATCACCGGCTCGAGTTGGGAGCATAAAGGAAAACCTGAACGGAATCAGACCACAGATGAGATTTTATTTATTCATTTATTTTTCTCATAACTTCTCCATTTGAGTCTCGTGTGCATCAGTCTAACCCACCAGGAACAAGCAGCATCAGCCTCAAGCCTCGTCAGGTGATTTTCAGCCAAAGGCTTCATTTGGTTTCACAGCAGGAAAGGAAGCAATCTCAGACACACAAAAGCACTCAAATAGGGTGATGAGCTTCAGGATAGCTGATGCATGATGTACCACAGAAAAAGAAAATGCAAACACTTCCAGCCCTTGTGTGGAGTAGAAAAGCAGTCATAGAACGGCCTGTTAGGGCAGAATGTTGCAGTGGGGAACACATTATTTCATATGATTCCCCTCCACCAAGCACTGATCCAGGATCTACTGGCATTGAAGTGAAATTACAGACATTGTTGTCATCATCTTCAGAACACTACCATTTCTACATTCATTCTAGCAGGTTATAGGTCGGTGTGCTTCACCTCCGTGTTGGACTCTGAGGAGGTGTTCTCTGTGTCTAAAGTGGAGGTGGATGACTTGTAAGCGGGTTCATCTTTAAAGGGGCTGTCTTTGGCGGGAGAGAAGCGGAATTCATCTGGCACCACATCCTCTGGTTCAGACTTCTTATAGAAACCTAGCTCCATCAGCAGCTCGTTAATCTCAGAACGGGTCATGTCTGACAGAGCGATCCTCTGCGAAGGAATCATAGGTGTTAGTGATGGATTTCACCCTAAGCTGACTGCTTTATCACAAACAGCATGTTATTAATGGATCATGTTTTAGAAAACCAAGGCATCTCAGGTTATAACTCAGAAAATAAATATGAATCTGTTTTTACGAACATTGCCTCAAATAATTACAGACACTGTAAAGGAAAAAAAAGAACACTTTATAATTGTGGAAAGATTTATTATGGTTTTCAAAGTTTAAATGGACCATTTTGGCTCTATGTTATTGTTTCTATTAACATAGGAGGCAGTAAAATAGCTGTAGATATCCTGAAAAAGTGTTCAAATAGTAATGAGAGAACAGGTTACGATGCAGATGATTGCAAGTAAGTGTAAGTGGAGACACCATGTTATTTTTTCTTTATCATATAATAATAAATACAATAACCAAATACATAGCACAGCAAACTAGACTTACATCAAGCTCTTCATAATAATGATTCAGGAGGACAAGCTCAGGATCAGCCCCAGGAATGTGCTTCATCACCAAATTATGGCTGGGGTGACAGTCAAAGAATTTTAGAAGAATAATTAAATCTCTGAATAAGCAAGTAGTTGTCACCTAAAAGAGCGATTAAGTATATTCTTAAAATCAAAGGATACTAAAGAGGAATATCCTGGATCACGAAGGCTTTGACCTGCAAACAGAGTCAGAGAATGCGTTTCACTCTAGGTTGTTTTCTGAGACAGCTTTTTCTCAGATTAACTGAATCCTGAACCTAAAATATTAAACATTTATCAGAGATTGAGCCGTTTTAAACAGGGAAAACACTTGAGCCTTTCTCTGACAACTTACCTCCCTGAGCCTGTTCAGCTGTCATCCACCACATGTCTGGAGAGACACAGAACATGGACACAATCAGACAAAAGAGACGATTCTTGAAGCAAATAGTGAGCATTTTGATTCACACCTGAAGTATGTTCAAATGTACATTCGCTTTGCGAAAGAGGCTGCACGGTTAGGGTTTATAATCTTGTTCAGAAAACCTCTTGGTATCAATGCAATTTGGCACCTTTTGTTCAAAAAGCCTAGATCAGTTCAGCCAGACCCCGGAGAAGGATGCATGACCTGTTTTTACAGACATCTGAGCCTTGGGAATGAGGTGTGACTACCACAACAACAGCATCAGAACATAGCTTTTGTTAGTTAGGCTCATAGTCTGACAATAGAATGACACCCTGGGGGGGAAAAAAAATCTAGGTCTCATTGAAAAAAAAAAACAGGGATAGGGTTTTGGAAGCTTTTGTGCAGGTGTCTCATCGAGGTCTCTTTCTTAATCTCACATTCAACAAGTCTCTACCATGCAGATTTGGTACTTATTACGATTATTTGGTGTGAACTAAATTCTCCGTTTTTGAG